CTTTTAAGTATCATTGTGAACTATTAGATTTTAACACTTGTAATGTAACTCAGTTCTTTTTGGTGCCCAAGTTGTCCTATCTCTGGTCTGTGAAAGCTCCTTCAAGTTGAACCTGACATAATGGTTTTTTAAGGGCTACTTTGCATTCAGGTACAACAGGATGTTCCAAGCTGTTTTCTTATTTCCTGCCCAGGTTTGGATTCAGCCATTTCTTTAATGAGCCCTACCTAGTTCTTTTTAGTTAGAGATGTTACTTAGAGCATATAGTCTGGGCTGCTCATTGATACTTGTTTGATCGTGTTTCTAGGTCTTCTTATTGGACACAGCTAGGAAATACTGAAACACATCATAGGTTTATATTATTTATTTCCAATTAAATATGGAGTTAAAGGGCAATAATTTAATCTTCTATTTACTTTTTTTTACCTTATCTTGAAAATCGTGGTTCCTAATAAAAACACCATTGATTTGCTTTATCCTACTCATGGTGATTTCAGACGAGTAGTACTAATATTGCAAACAACATGATTACTGAAAAAATTTTTTTTTGTTTTGTTTACTTTATGTTCTAAGGAAATAACTGCATTAGAAATGTATAATTAATGTGTATTTTCAAGTCACTTGTAATAGTTCTCTGTGTAGTTAAGCCACCAGTTGTGTACTTTTTTGTTTCTTTTGCTTTTGATTTTTAAGTGTTTCTCATATTTTGCTAATTATGTTTTATAATTATATGAAACACTACATGGTTCTATAGGTAAATCTCCATTCTACAGATAAATCTCCAAATCAAGGTACGTTAAGAGAAACAGTGGCCATCCGGGTTCCTCCTACCATATTTGTTAATAATAACTGTATTTATTAGTTTGGGTTTGTCTCTGTGTTTCAAAATATAACTGTGTGTATAATTATATACTCACACATATATTTGTATGTGTACATATGCAAGTGTGTATGTACCGTATTTTGCCGTATATAATATGCATATTTTTGCCCAAATTTGTGAGGGAAAGATAAGGATGTGCAGTATACATGGGTAGTACTAATTCCATTTCCCTGAAAGTTTGGTCCAAAAACGTGGGTGTACATTATACATGGCAAAATATGGTATACTTGTATATTTGTATTTCCATACACTTTAGGTAAAAAGCACACTATAAACGTTTGCATATTGCTTTTTTTGAGTTAACGTATCTATCCATATATATTACTTCATAGCAGATAATCATATTCCTTTGTTATAGAAGCATAATATTCCATTATATAATGGTATCATATGTTATTTTAAATGGTTTCATATTGTGGACATTTGGTTGTTTCTGGACATATTACAGATAGTGCAGCTATAAACAGCCTTGTGTATTTGTCTTTTCATGGGGATTTTTGTTATTAATGTTTGGGATGGATTCCTAGAAGTGGAATTCCTTAAATAGAAGGTAAATATAAACACAGTTTTTCTAGCTGTTGCCTAATTCTCTCTACAAGGGGACCGTATCACTGTTGTGTTCCCATCAGTAATGTATGAGAATATCTTTTTCCCACAGCCTATAAACATATTGTTAATCAAACGTCACAAAATATTTTAGGTACATCTGTGTTTTAGAATCTTTGGCAAAAGTATGATATGGACTATAAGGTGTGATCCTAAAAACAGGGAGATGTGTTGGGCCTTAACAGTAGAAACAGAAACGGAATTCTTCACTTAAGTATAGTTACGTTAAAGAAGTGTTAAAGGTGTAGCACAAGAAGGACTTAGTAACTGGGTGGAGATATGAGGAATTGGGGATAACTCCTCAAGTTTCTGGGAGTATGCAAAGTTCCCTTTAGAGCAGCAGTTCTCAACCTGTGGGTTGTGACCCCTTTGGGGGACGAACGACCCTTTCACAGGGGTCGCCTAAGATCATCGGAAAACAGAAAGATATTTACATTATGATTCATAACTAGCAAAATTACAGTTATAGAGTAGCAACGAAAATAATTTTATGGTTGGGGGTCACCACAACATGAGGAACTGTATTAAGGGGTCGCGGCATTAGGAAGGTTGAGAACCTCTGCTTTAGAGACTGTTGAGCATCAGCAGATTATGGGATGGGGGAATTCCATCTTGGATATCTTGAATTTCAGGTCTTCTGAGATATCTGTGTTAGAAATGTAGTTGGATATAGGATTTTGGTAAGTGTAGTTTATGTGCCCCTTCCGTGTTTTTTTACATAGCAATTGACTTAACATCTCTTTGGCTAGGATTAGAAAAATGTTTTATTTTCATGACTTACCTTTTACAGAATTACTAGAGACACTTAGAGTATGTGTACATATACTCTAACCGATTTGAAATCGTACTAAATATAAGCGTACAATATAATTGTGTTTTAAATTGCTAAAATTTAGTTCCAGGGCAAACAGAACTTAAATTCCCTTGCTCTGATGTATGAAACGATTTCTTGTGCCTTATCGCCAATAAACTTGATTTTACATATAATTTTTAAAACTTTTAAGTTTTCTACTTTGTTCAAAATATTTCCATTTTTGGTATCTAATTTTTGCAAACAGGCAAATGAATGGAGAATATTTTTGCCATTGAAATGTTTTTTCACTGTATTAAATACAGAAATACATGATAATAGGATGTCAAAATATAATTTTCACATTACAATTGAGGAAGGAATCTCATCTAAAAGAATAGTTTTTTATCCTATGTGGCCTTAAGAATATTAGGCAGGGAACAGATTCACAGAATTAGAAAAACCCTAAAGAGATCAAGATTAACTTTTTTGCTTTATAGGCTGGGAAAATGTTGGTTATTTTCTTACCAAATCAGTGTGAAACAACATGACTGTAAATTTAGGTTTGACCATTAAAAATGGAATTCAAATGGGAAAAGAGTAGAACCATAGACATGACTTTGTACTTTTTAGTTTCTTTCTTTAGGATTATTTCTGTGATAATGACAAAATATTAACAACTGACATTTACTTACCCCTCATCTACTGTTTTAAGCACTTTACAAGTCTTCTCATTTTAGTTCTCAGAACAACCATATGAGATACAGTTACTTACCATTAGGTACATTTTACATGTGAAACCTCCACAGAGAAGATTAGTAACTTTCCCAAGGATACACAGTAGCAAGAGCTGAAAAGAGAATTTAAACCCAGGTAGGCTGAAAAATAGAACATGTTTTGAGTGAAGACACCAGAATAAGATTCAAAACCTTGTCATGTAAGTTGAAGGAATTCATTTAAAAATATTTTTGTTTGGGAGAGAAGATTGAGGATGGCAGGGACACTTAGATTGTCAAGTATTAGGTCTTTCTGGAGACAGTGTATAGATTTCTTCATTTCCATGAAGAAATGGCATAGGATGAGTTCCAAAGCTTATCTTTGATCCAGTATTAGGTGTCTTCTGTTCTCTGTGTCAAAGCTATGTGGAGACAGAATGGCTTTTTTTAGGGTTAAAGCCGCCCCCTCACCACTCACTTTCTGAGCAAAGGTTGCATGGTTATTTGGAAGGCTTAGGTAGAAAGGAATTGTGGCACTTAGAGGATAAAATGGACCCCTTGCTAATCCTGAGATTTTTTTTTTCAATTAACTAAAAATTGTAGTGACTTGATTAATTGCTTAATTAATTAAAGATCCCAACAAGGATTAATATCCATTTATTCTAAATGAATTAGATACTCTGTGAGAGTTCTAGGCTTACATAGTTCTCATTTGATTCAGAAGAACCAACGCTAGCTGCTAGAGTTGCTTCCAACTTCAGGCCGGCTCACATTTTGAGAGGCCACTAAGTTGGTTAAGGGTTAATGGTCTCTTCCCATAGTTTCTACCTTGTTAATGCTGTCACACTAGGGTATGATATTTAATTATTGTGTTCCTATAGCATAATAGGTTATCAAACTTGAGCATGCTTTAGCATTTCTGAGAGGATTTGTGAAAATAGATTGCCGGGCCTCATCCCCAGCGTTTCTGACTCAGTAGAGCCCAAGAATATGCGTTTCTAACATGTTCTCAGATGATGATGATGATGCTGGCCTGGGGACCACACTTGGAGAACCTCCACCGTAGTAGGTTAGTCTGCGCCCAATTGATAGAGGTTTCCAAGAGCACAAACCAGATATTCATTTCTTTGTCCCTCTAATACCAAACAAATACGTAAATGTCTTAATTTTACAGAAACCATTGTAGACTGTTACATTGCAGTCTTTGGTCTGCTGGTACTAGAAATTAGGCCTAACATTGTGTAACCTTCTAAAGCTTTAAATTCAGGTCAGATTTAGGTTTAAGTTTACCTTTAGAAACACAAAAACAAGATTCTGTTAGAATTCTTTCACATGGTTCTACTTTCTGATACACAAAAAATTCTGAAGTGTTTTTGTTTTACTTTTGCCATTACTAGGGAGCTGGCTACCTGTAAGAGCTAGAATTTTATTTTTACTGGAAAAATGGAGGCTATTGAATCATACTGGGTTCATGTTCTTAGTATCCATAAAGCAAATGGCAGAATGAAACTGGTTCCAAATTCAGGAAGAGCTTAGCATCTACTCCTATTAAAGTAATTCTTAATATTCTAATAACTATGTATGGTGCCAGGTGGGTACTAGACTAGTCATGGGGATCACCTTGTAAATTATATAAATGTCTAACCACTATGCTGTACACCTGAAACTAATACAAAATAATATTGAATGTCAACTGTAATTGAATAATATTTTTTAAAAAGTAATTCTTAAACTGAGTTAAGAAAATGTGGAAAAAAGAACATTTTTTTTGTTTTTTTTTACTTAATCATACTCTCCCCTCCCCCGTCCCCCACCCAAAGCTAGCAAAGAATGTCTCATTAAGATTTTATCAAGAATTATTTATCCTGGCAGTTAAAATCATGAATGAATAAGTGCCATTAAGAATAATATGATTAAGTTTTTATATATGTTGCATATAATTTTAGCTTTCTTTAGCAGTTATCCTAAGCAGTGTTCTGTGATTGTTCTCTTTCTCTCTCCTTAGATACCCAGAAAGTGGTACTGTAGAAATAAATGTGAAGGATCTTCGACCACGAGCTAGAACCACTTTGAAATGGAATGAACTAAATATTGGTGATGTGGTAATGGTTAACTACAATGTAGAAAGTCCTAGTAATAGAGGATTTTGGTTTGATGCAGAAATTACTGCATTGAAGACAATCTCCAGGACCAAAAAAGAACTTCGTGCGAATATTTTCTTGGGGTAAGATTCTCTTCACAGATGCCATTTAATTAATTAATCAAGTAATGTAATTTTGAGGTATTAAGCACATGTTTCTTAGTTTAAAAAAAGAGGAATCTATGAAAGATGGAAATTTACATACCAAAGGAGAATCTTTTTTTTTATAAATTGAGAATTTTTTATTAAGAATGGCCCTTAAATCTCCATAGCTACTTTAATGCTGGAGGTATATTTGAAAGCATCTTGGAAATAACTGAGTGTTTTATTAGAGAAATCCTTGCTTACCTCACAGGATTCTTATAGATTAAGTCAAATAACATACAAGAACATTTCAATAGCCAAGTTGCTATGAGGATCCTATTGATGTAATAACTGCAAGTGTCTACCTAGCCAGCTGTTTACTGGACTCGTAAGACTATCTGAAATTTTCGTTCACAGTAATTTTCTTCAACTTACAGAATTTGACAAGCTTAATGAAGAGAATTCAAAAGGTAAAATCACCAAAATACCAAATCACTCAGGTATTTTCATCATTAATCTTTTAAGAAAAACATTTAGATGTTTCCCTCAAGTGATAGAGTATTATGCATTGTTGCACAATTACCCTTTTATACATGGGAAAATATTATCACCATTTTTCTTAGTCCGATTCTTCTGAATAGAGTTTATTGGATGAATAGTCACTAGTTAAAAAAAAAAAAGCCTGTGAAATTGTTTCCAGTTCTTCATTAGAAATCATGTTTAAGTAAACAACGTCATATATGCATTTTTGTTAATTTCTTTTCTTTAGAATGAGTTCTTAGAAGTATGCGTATATCTGCTGTGTTACGCATTGGAGATTCTAGAAGGACCTTGATAATTTTCTTTTACATAGGGAAATAGCCAAACTAATACTCCTGTCAAGCTCTGGTTAACTGGATTATTCTATGTTATTATAATATATATTTTATGTACTTTATACAATGCTTATATAACAATGGAATATATATATATATATATATATGTATGTGTGTGTATATATATATGTGTATGTGTATATATATATATATATAGGATATATTATATCTATGATAACATTAAGGTGACAAATCTGGGATCAAGCATTTGCTCATGGTTAATGATATATAGCAGGGGTCAGTAAACTACAGCCTACTGGCTGCCTGTTTTTATGAAAATAAAGTGTTACTGGAACACAGCAATGCCCATCCATTTATGTATTATCTGTGGCTGTTTTTGTACTCAGCAGCATTGTTGAGTGGTTGCAACTGAGACTCTGGCTTATAAGCCTAAACTACTTATTCTGTGACCCTTCATGGAAAAAGTTTGCTGACTCCTAAAATAAAAAGAATGTTGTTTGAGGTGGTGAGCATAGTTTATATTTTACAAAACAGTTTCAGGACTTTATCCAAACACAAGTGTGATTTTGTTGCCAGACTAAGGATGTAACTCAATTACAGACTTCCAAGCCACTTGATATTCTGATATGCATACAAATCATGAAGAAAAGGAGAAAGCATCTACATAAATTGTAGCCTTGTAAGGTACTTGAGTGCAAGAAGTCCAAAAAAGCACATGTATACAATAGGAGGCGATAACAGTACATTGCACTGCACTAAAAAATAGCTCGCTATTAAAAAAAAAAGTTCCCCCAAGTGATTCTGAGGTACAGTGAAGCACCCTGAGTTTAGGGGTTATACTAAGATTGAGTGGCAATTATAGACAGGAAAATATTGGCTCACTAGAGAGAAAAATTATGGAATAGCTATCCCAACAATAAAATACACTGTCCTGTGAGGTATTGTTCTCCATCACTTCAGTTTTTACTAGACATGTTAGGAACACAGCCAAAAAGGAACTAATGTGGCTTGTGGATGGGAATTATTTCTCATGGTTAGAAATCTTAGTGGAAATAGTGGATAAACAGAGTGAAGGCATAAATTATTCTGTTGATAGTTTGGGGCTATTATAAACAGTGCTGCCGTGACATTCTATCTGTGTCCTGGTGCTTATGTGCATCAGTTTTTGTAGTTCACATCTTGTCTAGAACTAGCATTGTTGCGTTGTAGAGCCTGTGTATTTTCAACTTTGATAGGACCAAATATGTAAGTGGTTGTACGGGATTGTACTTCCACAGCAGTATGAGAGTTCCCATGGCTTGGCATTCTCTCTCATTCACTCTTTGTCAGACTCGAGTTTCTGCTAATCAGGTGGATGTATAATAAAATAGTATATCATTGTGGCTTTAATACGCATTTCCCTAACTAATGATATTGAGAACCTTATGTTTATTGGCAATTTGGGTATCTTTTGTGAGGCCCCTGTTCCAAACATTGGTGTTTGGTTGTTATTAATTGATTTTTAGGAGTTCTAGTTGTGGGAACTTGACCATTTCAGTTATAAGTGGAGAAAAATATCTTCTCCAATTTGATGACTTATCTTTTCTCCTTAGGTTTGAATAGTAGTTGAGTTTATCAACATTTTTTCCTTATACTTTCTGTCTTGCTTAAGAAACCTTTCAGGGTTGGGGACTGGGGGTCAGCAGGGCAAAATGATTGCAGGTGTCAAAAGGTACAAACTTCCAGTTATAAGATATATAAGATATGGGAATATAATGTACAGCATGGTGACTATAGTTAACAATACTGTTTGTACGAGTATATTTGAAAGTTGCTAAGAGAGTAGATCTTAAAAGTTCTCATCACAAGAAAAAAATTTGTAACTTTGTGAGGTGATGGATGTTAACTAAACTTTTTGTGGTAATCATTTGTCAATATATACATATATCAAATTATTATGTTGTATACCTTAAACTTATACAGTGCTATGTTAGTTATATCTCAGTAAAACGTACAGAAGGGAGGGAGGACCTTTCCTTACCCAGAGAGCATAAAGATAGTCTCCATTATTACCTTCCAAAAGCCTGTGATGTGTTGCCTTTCTTTAGGTCTTTCATCCGCTTTCAGTAGGTTTTTGTGTACAGTGTTAGGTAAGAGTTTGACTTACCTTGATATACCGGTATAGATAGGCATTCTTCGTAGCACCGTTTATTGAAAAGCCCATTTCTCCCTCATGTACCTTCAGTATCACCTCATAACTAGTATTATATCTGATACATCCATCTGATTGCTGTTCTGTAACACTGGTCTGTTTTGTGTATCCTTACATCAGTTCCACACTTTCATAATATGACAGCAGATCTTCCTACCTTGTTCTTCAATTCTGTTTTCTTAGTTCTGTGTACTTTCATTTGAATTTTCCAGTCGTCTTGGTAATTTCCACATAAAAACCACTGGGGATTTGAAAAGTATTGTGTTGAATCTAACCCATCTGTGATTTTCTCTCCATTCAGTTAGGTCTTTAATGTGTTTGTTTTTCTCATGTTTCTATTAGATTCAACCATATGAAATATGCTTTTGTAGGTTCAAAGGTTTAAAAGTTGGCAGTTATATAGTTCAACCTGATTTAATTATCTCCAAAGATCTAATGTTATATATGCTCATATATATATGGTTATTTAACCTTAGATACCACTTGTTGTTACTGTAAATTCTATTTTTATTTCATTTTTCTCATTGTTACAGATATACAGATAACATTTACTCTTGGATTCAGTAGCCTTACTAGATTTACTATTTTAAATTTACATGTAGGCTGTCTTAGCATTTTTTATGATTATAATCATCATCCATGAATTATGACATTTTTGTTTTGTCCTTTACTTTGATTTCTTCCTCCTTATTCATCAGCTGCTCTTTAGTACATTCTTGAAAGGAAGTGGTGATAGCAGGCATCTTTTTTTCCTCTGATGTCCAAGAAAAAGATTTCAAAATTTCACCAATAACCATAATGTTTAATACAAGTATTTTGTGGATATGCTTCCCTGGGTTTGATTTGATGATATTATTAGGATTTTTGAATTTGTGTCAATGAGTAAAATTTGCATGTTAGGTTTCCTGCCTAGCTGTCCTTCACAAATTATGCTGGTTTTATAAAATAATTTGGTGGAATATCATTTTTCTATCGTATGGTAGTTTTGTGTCCTTTTCTTGAGTGTTTGGTAGAACTTGTCAGTAAAGTCCTCTGGGGCTGAGTTTTCTTTGTGGGAAGGTTTTTTTTGACTGATTCAATTTCTGTAATGATCATAGGGCTATTCAGGCTTTCTATTTCTTGAAATAGGATTTAATTTTCTAGGAGTGATTATTTTATCTAAATTTTAATTTATTGCCATAGTTTATTTGGTAGCCTCATCTTTTAATGTGTGCAGTCTTTGTTATAATGAAAAGATGGAGAATTTCAACTGACAATTGGAATTTGTAAAATAATCACATGGAGATTCAAGAACTAAAAAATTCAGCATCTAAAACTAACACGTCGTTAGATTGGCTTAACAGCAGGTAAGATACAGCAGAAGATAGTATTAGTGAACTAAAAGGCAAGTCAATGAAAAATATTTAAACTGAAACATGGAAAACAACACAGAATAGACATGAATATATGGACTTGGTGAAAAGGTGTGTGTTAGATTTATTTATAGTTCCCAAAAGGAGAAAGTAGGATGAAAACAATATTTGAAAATACAATAGCTAGAATTTTCCAAAATTGATAAAAGATATCTGCCTAGGTTGAAGAAATTTTGTGAACCCTAAGCAGGATAAAATGTAAAAGAAACACACAGTGGCATATCACAATAATAAGGCTGTTGAAAACTCAAGATAAAAACAAAGGGAAGATGACTGAGTTTTCATCAGAAATACTGTAAACTAGAAGACAATGGAATGGCATCTGAAAACACTGATAAAAAATTCTCAACTTAGAAATACATTTCTAATGAAAATATCCTACAAAAATGAAGCCAAAATAAAGACATTGTTAAAGCAAATATGAGAGAATTCAATATCAACAAACCTGCACTAAAAGAAATACTTAAAGGGAGTTCTTTAAGCTAAAGAAAGGAGACCTCAGAACAAAACATGGAAATACAGGAAGGAATTAAGAACAGAGGAAGGGTAACTATATGAGTA